TTAATGTTGATTTTACCCAATATGGCTAAAAAACACTAAATCACTATCACACATACCATTTGGCCTTTATTGTCATATATTACACCACATATATATGATCACCGCATGCATACAACATTCCTTGCACTTATATTACTATTTTAACCCTTTACCACAAAAATCACCACATATTCACATCATAAGTAATATTGGGCTAAAATATAAAGTAGCACTGTATAATACAAGTGTACCCAATTAAAATGGCATGCATTTCTAGTTGACAACTCATGTTGTCATACATTTAAGTTTATGTACACAACTCAAAATGAAATCGAGCATCACAAGTACAAATGGAGCTAAATAGCTAATCCTTGCTCGATTCCTTTCCTTGCTCAAACTCGACAGTAGGACCTGTAAAATAATAACAACGGGGTAAGATAAAAATCTCAGTAATTAAGATAATCTACATTATTGATTAACATGACAAGTTATAAACAAGTTTTAAGATATGCATAATGAACGTACCATATACAATCACCATAATTACAATGTATGATCACTAATCATCCAATCCTCCAATACTCCTGACCGAATCGATAGGCTATTTTAAAGAACTAAACCATGTATATAATCCTCAATCTCACCATCTATGGTAGGCTATGTAACATTCAGAAAATTTTAACCCTGATTTATTAACTTAATTAGGATAGTTAGTGAGTTAATGAGATGTGTGGCTAGAGGGGCTTAACTTAGCATAATTGATATAATTTCAACCCTAGAAGTGGGTTCAAATCGATAGTGGGTTACTCAGGTAAGGAAAGAGGATGAAAAAGTGAAGAGTTGCGTTCTGTGCCATATACCACGACATGTGGTTGGTCCACCGCAACGCACAGACACAATTTAAATGTAACAAGCTCCTCTGTACCATGTGCGGCAGTGGAGAGCAATGTGCGTCATGGCACACGACCAAAAATCAAATAAATCAGCTCATGAGCTATATGAAAATATAAGAGAGAAAGAGGAGGAAAATAAAGAGCTTGGTTTTGCCTCTACTAGGGCACAACTTTTGGTCCCATTGTTGATAGATTGGAGTTCTCAAATACCTAAAGTAAGATCATGGTGCCTTCTTCTTCCTTTCTCTCCCTCATTTATAAAATAAGTGTATTTGATTGCGTGTGATGTGTTGCACGAGTTTGTAAGAATCCATTAAGTGTGGTTGGAGGGTTGGTGTAGATTATTGGCACGTGTGATTAAGTTAGGACACCCTATTTAGAAAATTTTGTGAAAATATATCAAAATTGGTGTCCAACTTTTAACAGAAAATGAATTTGAGTGTGAAATCGGTGTCATTAGCTAGAGCTAATAGAAAACTCCATGTAGACACCAAAACCACCTCAATCGAACATCGGACAGAGATTTGAGATGCGTCGGAAGTTCGCTCGCTATGCTGTCAAATGATGGCACTGATCTGTCAAAATTCGTGCAATGTACCATAGCACATGGCACAGAGAAGACATGTCGTGGTGCAAAAGCTATAAGCTGCGGCGCATGTGTCATTTTCTACACAAAAATGTTTTTTGAGTTCTAACACTTATTTTTGGGTCCTAATTGATTTTCAAGCTTCCGCTTTATTTTTAAAATTAATTTGGAGTCTTTAAATTTAAGTATGGGATTTGAAATGGCAAATTGGGATTCCTGTGAAGTAATTTTTGTGAAATTCTCTTTAACACCTCGAATAATTATGGGATTGGAGTTAATTTGTGGTTGAATCTCAGAGAGGTTATAGGCTACCCGGCCAAGGTGTCTTAAACCACTTTTGGACTACAAGTCCTCCCTATTACAAGTAATTGGAGTGTCATTGCTCTAACGCCGCATCCTATGGATACTAAGGAGCATAATCTCCAACTCCACATGCTTCTAGGTACTTAGGAGAATAACTCTCCAACACCGTATCCTTTTTAAAAACTAAGGAGAAATATGAGCTACACCTGGCATCTCAAGGTATCAGCAGTGCTATATGGACTTAATTTTTACTAGCTCTACTAGGGTGACCTCTCACCCTTTAACATGCCACATTTCACTATATATCTCCACTTAACCATGTATAACCACTTTATAAACAAATATAACAGATTCTTTTCCACTTACTTTAAAAACAGAAAATTTCATAAATCAATACTCCACACATTTTCTAAAATACTTAACTTCTACAAAATTTATATATATTTATATAATAAATCATATAAGAACAATTTGAAATAACTTATACAAGATAATAAATAATGTAAATCATCTAGTTACCTCAATTCTTTTGTTATTAAAAAGATTACTCGTGGTATTAAATCTTCTCTTGTTTTAAGGCAAGGTCCCCCATACCTCAACAATAAGAAATATATGTAAATTTTCAATTAATCCAAGCACTAATTGCTACCAATATCACTCCAATTCTCCCTACTTTTCACTCTTATTCTCAACAAAGAAGCTTGTCAAGATTACAATTTATTCACACAATCCCCTTAAGCTTCCCTCTAATTCTATCACAACATAACACTTGACATCTCAACTTTTCACACCTCAAAACTTCATAATTAAGCTAGGGCTTGATCCAATTTACACCAAATAATAAATAAGCTTCGCATTATCACTTATCCAAGGTTAAGAATCTTAAATCAAACCTTTAGATTCACTTGAAGTCTTCCAAACATAAACTCACAACTTAATCCAATCAAAGCAAATTCACCCATTTCCCAAATCCAATAAAAAAGAGATGTAAAGGTAGGAGAAAAAGTTAGGAAACATACTCAAGAATTTGAAGGCCTAATCTAGCTTTAAAATCCTCCCAAATTAAAGCCTTAACAGTGACAAAATCCTTCCCCTTCATGTTATAGGTTTTTCCCAATAAAAACTGTCTCTTTCTAATAATTTTCATATTTTATGCTATCCGTGTTGTGCCGTGTGCCGCAACACATGACATATAAGTTGCGGCTCATGACAAAGTGAGCAAAAAGTCACTTTTTCTCCCTCCAATGCCACCTAATTTGATCCAGCCTCCATCTTAACTCAATTTAGAGCTAAATATGACCCAAGAAGCCAATTAACAACTTAAAAATATGATTAAATTAATTAATCATTTTTTTAACTAATTTCTCTTCTAATTAGAAATTTATTCCATATTTAAAATTTTAGATCTTACAAACTTCAATCTAGCCCTCTTCTAAAGCGTCTAATAATTCATTAGCTACATTAGCCTCCCAAAAATACCATTAAACAATAATTTATCTAATTTAACTAAAATACTGAAAATTCCTAGAATTGAAATTTAGGATGTTAAATATCTCATGAGTGACTACAAGAGTGACTATAACAAAAACTATTCTAAAACACAAAGTGACTACAACTCGTAAGAAAGTGTGTGATTTCCCTTTTTCCTAGGGTTTGGATGGTGAAAGAATCCTTATCTCAATTATGGATTTGCTTATGAATTCCTCTCTTTAGCAATTAGTGATTTAGATTAAATTAAACCTAGAACAACCCTTAACTAGTTTCCTCTCTCTAATTCCATCAACTAACGGTTTTAGATTGAGTTCCCTAATTAAGCTTAAGGTTGCCAAAGTGCCTAACCTTCTCTCTTGTGGTAGCCGTGACCTAAATGATGACTATTGAGGTTACACAACTATGAAAACCTCATTAAGTTTAGCCAAGGATCAACACACATAAATGTGCAATGAAATCCAATTATCAACATGACAACACAAAACTATGCAATTATTACATCGACCATAACAAAGAGTCACAATATTCATCAATGGAAGATTACAAGACAAGCTATCCTACTTGAAGAAAAGAACAAATCACAGCTAGAGATTGCAAATCAACAACATCATAACATTAACTAAGCAATCCTCTCTATAGGACTCCAAATGAGAAAAAGTTGAAGTAGATATAGTCTTAGCCATATGAAGCTCTTAGATTCATCTTCAATGGCATCCTCTCCAAAGGACTCCACTACTAGATCTTTAGCCTTCAACCTCCATCTTCAATGCTCCCATAGTGGACTCAACTTGGCCAAATCACATCTTCATCTTCAATGAATAATTGAAGCCACCAATGTTGACGAAAACACAAGGGATGTGATGGTTTTGGAGAGAGGAGAAGAATGGTATATGTCTTGTGTGATTTAGTAAAGACATGAGCATGTAATAACCTAAGAATTTAAAAAAAATGCCCATAAAAATAAAAAAAATAATTATAAATAAATAAAGACGTACGTGATGCAACAGATAATGTAATAACCTATAAATTGTCAAAAATTATAAGATATATTTAGTTTATTTTATAAAAATTAGGGGTAGATTTAATAAGATGAAAAGGTGCTTAACGGAAATTCTTCTTGTCTTTTTCAAGTTCCTTGTTTGATTCCTAGTTGTATTGAGACCTAACTTCAATGCTTATCAAAATGATGAGAGTGTGAGAAAATCTGAATTATCCAGATTTTGATTTAGAAAGTCCATATTTAAAGTATTATTTTATTTTATATTTATTAAAATAAAAATTATAAAATAATTTTAATAATTTTTTATTTTTATATCCTCTAGATTTAATTTAAATGTTCTAATTTAATATTAAAATTTTTATAATTGCTATATATTAACTATCTAGATATACTTTGTATAATTCAGATTAACGCCATATTAAATCTACACTGTGTAGAGTATATTTAGATAGTAAATATATAATAATTATAAAAATTTTAATATTAAATTAGATACTTCAAATTAAATCTAAACTAAACTAAAAATAAAAATATTTATTAAAATTATAAATAGTTTTATTTTAATTAATATAAAATGCAAATATATAATAATATTTTAAATTTCCTCAAATTTCATCACAGTAGCAATTTTTTTTTAATTTATTGTTATTTGGTTTTATTTGGGCTTTTAAATTACTAAAATGCCATTGTGGTTTTTAACCCCGCCCCGGCGTCACATATTTTGTTTTTCCTCCCACCCTTTCCTATTTTCATCCTCGACCAGTGATCCAGAGAAGAGAAGGGTTCATGTTCGATCTCCTCCCTTCACCTCTCCTCACCGTTCAACGTGACTGAGGTGCGTCCGTCGCTGCCGTGGTGGTCTGCTCGCGTGGTCTGATCTCCTCCTTGCTTCTCGTCATTCGTTTCTCTTCCTCCCTCTTCGGTTGTTGTGGCGACGCCAGAGGCCTCTTTCTCTTCACTGGCCGAGTCGTCCTTGTTCTAGTGGCTCAAGACTCGTTCTTCCTCCCTTCCCTAGCTCGACCTGGTGTGGATGTCTCTTAATAGGAAAAAAAAAAAAATTGGTTGTGTTAAAAAAGCTATAGTGACAGTGTTCTTGTAAAAGAGTATGAGTAGTCAACTTACATGTGGTGCCTCTTGTTCTTGTTCTAAGTTCATTCTTATGACAAAAGTGAGTAACACCGGTGAAGATTAATTTTGGTTTTCTTTGCTATCCATCCTATTTGACTTTAATATTGTTCACTGTCAGTACACTTCCATCGGCCCCTTCCTGGATGGCAAATTTTTTCCCTGGATCTTCGAAATTTTGTCTTTTTGGCACTCATGTTGGTGTCTGAAACACTTGGTATTGCCAGTGTAATAAGTTATTCAAGAATATGATTAAGAAGAGGTTAGTTTCTTCTAGCCTATTCTTTATAACCAGGAGAAAAGTAACAACCTGTGCTCTTTCTATTGAAACCTCAGACATGGCAGTCTCTATTCCTTCTGGAAACCACAAAAATCTCTGCCATTCCCTAGCAGATCAGCTTATACAAAGGGGTTTACTTTCATCTGCCCAGCTAGTTGTTCAAAGGATGATTAGTTATTCTATGTCTGTCACTGATGCCATTTCAGTTGCTAATTATGTTGTTGGTCGTGGTTTGGACCTTGATTTGGGTAGCTATGCTGTCTTAATAAGGAAGCTGGTGACTTTAGGGGAGCCACAATTAGCAGAGTCACTTTACTTAATAGAAATTGCATCTCGAGGTTATAATCCATACCCTTCGATTTTGAATTCTATGGTAATCTGCTCATGTGAGTTGGGAAAAGTAGAAGATGCAATAAATTATTTTAAAAGGCTTCTTTCCTTCAATTGCGTGCCGCAGAAAGAAGCATGCCATAGCATTCTACAGCAGTGTTGTGCCCAAGAACGATATTTGGATGCTTTGATTTATTTCTTAGAGCCCAGTGTGTAGAAGTAGAACTGAGTTTTTGGTGCTATCATCTATTAATTGATGGGCTATGCCATAAAGGACATTTGGATGAGGCTCTTCGAGTGTTTGATATGTTGCAGAACTACCATAAATATCTCCCTTCAGTTCATTTATACAAGTCACTGTTTTATGGTCTCTGCAAGGGTAGTAGAATAGTGGAGGCAGAGTTAATAATTGGGGAAATGGAATCCCGAGGTATGTATATTGACAAGACAATGTATACTTCTCTTGTCCGTGTGTATTGTAGAGACAGAAAAATGAAGGTGGCTATGCAGGTTTTCTTCAGAATGTTCAAGACAGGCCATCAGCCAGATCAACGTATATGTAATGTTTTAATTGATGGTTTCATGAAGTTGGGTCTATGTGACAAGGGCTGGGTTATACATAACAAGATGATGGAGTGGGGAATTAAGCCTAATGTGGTGACTTATCAAGTTATGATTTCCCAGTACTGTAAAGAAGAAAGAATTGATTGTGCTATGACTCTTTTCCACAACATGATTAATTTTAAAGTAACCCCTAATGTTCATTGTTACACTGTTTTGTTCTCTGCACTGTACAAGCATAATAAAGTGGAAGAGTTTTATGAGTTGTACAAAAGTATGATGGAAAGTGATGTTATTCCTGATCATGTGCTATATTTAAAACTTACGAAAATTTTGCCTGTTTGCAAGCTACGGCTTGCCTTCACAATTTTGCAGGCCCTTGCTAAGAATGGATGTGGTTTTGATCCTATGTTGCCTGCTTCTTCTAGTAAAAATCCAGACTATGATTTTGAGCGAGAAATTGAACTCTTGCTGGAGAGAATTGTGAGGAAAAATGATAACTTAGCAACTGTAGCTTATAGCATTTTTATTTGTGCCTTGTGCGAGAAAGGAGAAATAGACAAGGCATTAGTTTGTTTGAAAAAAATGGATGATGCTAGATACAGACCCTTGCATTTCAGTTACAACTCACTCATCAAGTGTTTGAGCCAAATGGGGCATTTTGAGGATGCTTGCTATGTTATTGACCATATGGAAGATCGTGGCTTGGTTCCTGATCAAGCAACTTTCTTGATAATTGTAGATGAGCTTTGTAATCAGGGTGATATGGCCTCTGCAATTGATTTCCTGGATCAAATGGAAGAGAGAGGAATGAAGCCCTCTGTTGCTATTTATGACTCAATTATAGGTTGTTTAGTTAAAGAAGGAAAAATTATTGAAGCAGAAGACCTTTTTAAGAGAATGCTTATGAGTGGTGTGAATCCTGATGTGGCAGTTTATACTGCATTGATTAATGGATACATCAAGAATGGAAGAGTACTTGAAGCCCGAGAATTATTTGACACAATGGTAGAGAATTCAATCAAACCAAGTTATCATTCTTACACTGTCCTTGTAAGTGGATTAGTTAAGAAACATATGATTGATGAGGGATGCATTTACCTTGGCAAAATGTTGGAGAATGGTATGGTGCCGAATGCTGTTTTATATACTTCCCTTATCTTACATTTCTTGAAAAACAGGGAGTTTGAAGTTGCCCTTAAGTTAGTTAATCTAGCGGGCAAAAATGAGATAACTTGGGATCTTAAAATGTGCATGGCATTTGTGAATGGAGTTCGAAGATATATTTGTCGTAACAACAATGAAAGTTACAACTTGCCAAGAATGTCTGAAAGGGGAAAAGAGATGCTATTGTATTTGCTTGAATGGAGTCCTTTTCCTACAATAGAAAATATACTTAGAGTTCCAACTAAATCTTCTGAGGCATTGAAATGGTTGGCTAGGAGGTTGATAAAAGGTTTCAAAGGTGCTGCAATTGTGGATAATCTTTACCTGAACAACTGCATAATATCATGGCTTTGTAGGGAAGAAATGATTAATGATGCATATAGTCATTTACAACTGATGGAAAAAGAAGGTATGTGCCCTAATCATGTAACTTATACCATCCTTCTTTATGGGCATATTCAATTGGATGATGTTGACAGTGCTGTGAGATTGTTCAACAAGATGAACGTAGATGGTTGTATTCCAGATAGGATTGCTTATGACACTTTATTGGGAGGCTTCATTAGAGCTGGGAGACTTCGTGATGCAATGTCACTTGTGTATTCAATGCACAAAAGGGGATTATACCCAAAGTGGGCATCTTGTGAAATGTTATTATACTGTTTCTGCAGAAGTGGACTAAGTGTTCCTGGATCCAGATTATTTCAAGAAATGATTGCGGCAGATTATCAGCATATCCTACGTGACCATTATTGGTCATCTTACAATTTATGTGAAAGTGATAGACTTCATGAAGATCAGTTGATATATGACGATGCATTTCAAAGAGCTCTGTATAAAGGAAAGAAGCTTCTCATGAGTTATCAGTCAAGCTCCCCATGATGGCAAAACTAGTGATATATGTTCATGGTGTAAGTGTCAGGCTTCAAGGAGAAAATATTTAGATATGAAGTGGTGAGACTTAATTGAAGCTGACGTTAGTTGTGAAGTTAACGTAGCACGTAGCATTTTCATGGTTGAAGAAAACGAACTTCAGTGAAGTCTATTTGTTCACAAAACAGGGGGACCATAGTTGCCTTCAATTGATTGTGCCGCAGTCATCAGGTAACACCAGCATATATTTCTTATATGTTGAAACATATTTCTCACCTTGGATAATCAACTTGTGATAGGGATATAGTAAAATAAATATCTTTTGAAGTTGAAATTATACCAACATCTAAGTTATTGTTGTAAAATCATTCAAGTCTAACACATTTTTAATTCTGTGCTACGAGGATACAAACTTAATGTTGTGCTGAAAATTTGAGCTTATGCTGGAAATATCGCTGACAGAAATATTTTTATTACAGATATACTAAATTCCACAATTTATTTATTACTTGCATTGCGTTTCAACCCAATTGACCATCAAGTTGCAAATACCGCATGTCTTGCCAAGATTTTGTTCTCTTCTTTCCGATTACCCTAAACATGTCCCCAAGAACTGCACAAAAGTAGTGCTTCAGCAATGTTTCCTTAGCATTTGCTTACTTCACTTTGACCAAGCTTGGTCAGATAAATGAGAAACCCTTGTAATAAAATGCCTACTCCTTTAGTTTTTCTCAAGACAAGGGATGGCACCGCCTCTTGGGTAATTTTCTTTCATAGACCATGAATGTCTCATGCGATCCATACAACTAGAGATTGATGTATGCAGCATGATTTTCTCATAGATAGGACAACACAACTAAAACTTAATGGCTTCTAACTTATAGTTTAGTCTTCTCTGCCCAAACATTGTTTCTCAACTTGATTATGAAAATATGATCACTAATTTTCATAAAACATGTTAACAGTTTATTCTTTTGTTTAAATACAAAAGACCTTATTTGTGTTATTTCTTGGAATAGCTTTTTCATGCTTTTGATGGAAGTAATGGATTCCACGGATACTTCAGCATTGGCAGCAACAATGACACCATTGAAAAGCATCCTTGACTTCGTATGAGGTCTGTTGTTGTTATTGTTTTTTCTTTTTAATATAACCATTTAATTTTTCCCAAACATGACTGGTTTTTGCCTCCTTTGACAGGGTTATATCTGATGTCAGATCTATGAAACTACCGTTATGGTTGCCAAAGCTCCTAATCATCATCCGGAGCTAACAAAGCTCCTGAAGTTCTGTAGTGGGTCCTTCAGAAGAAAAAGATTAGATGAGAGAAAGATAGGAGTAGGGCCCTAGAGGGATAGAGAGGCTTTACCTCTAATTCCATAACTCTCCTCACTTCATCCTCCGGACACTAGAGGGAGTCTGGCTTTTTGAAGTTCTGATGCAAGTGTTTGTTGGCATCGATACTACACCATTTAGTGGTATATAGTGGAGGTTTCTCCTAATTTTATCTCTAAACAGCTAGTGGACCCAACCAAGTGGGCCCAAGACTACTGTTGTTGTTGTTGTTGTTGTTGGATGTTGCAGTACAGATTGCATGGCAAAGAAATTTGGGGCAAAGATCATAGGCATCACTTCAAGTCTTGTTTAAACTGCTTGAGCAATTGCTTTTCTGCTGCTCAAGGGTTAGCTGACATGGTCTACCTTGATCGTTTCGTTTCTTAAATTATATTTATGCTTGCTGCCTAGAATTGATATAATAAAATAAAATAACCAAGGTTTATGATTTTTTTAAGAATATATTTACTGTAGCTCTTTTTTTTTTTTTTTTAAACCTTCATATTTTTGCTATAGCAACATTCCTGTCAAGCTGCAGATGATTTAAAGCAACCATTCTTTGATGGCTAGGTTGATCTGGCGTGGTCCAATCGAGAAAGGAGAACATAAGCTTGGCAACAATTTGTGATGGACTGATTTTATTAAAGGAGAAGATAACTGTTGGTCTTTATACTCTTGACATGTTTTGGTATTAGTTCATATGTTTTATGTATTATTCTAAGTTTCTTAAGTCTTATTTATTTGCTATGTTTGTTCTTATTGTCACTGGTGGAGTTAAATCTATTGATGTATTTACAGTTCAATTAATGTTGTTGAATTGGTAAATTTATGAGAGTTAGATATTGTATGAGCAAAATTGTCACTAATTTTTCTATCTATTTGCCCTGGCTATTTTGGTTCACTCCTTCTAAAGCCTCATCAATTGTGCATTTCAGCATTTTGGTTCAATATTCTGCATGCTTTTTCTTGCCTTCAACTCATTTTATATACAAATTCTTCATAATTTTAACAAGTTAGTACAAAGAGTAATAGGGTTTATGTACATGTTAGTCACTATTAAGTTGTTATGGTCATATTTAAATATACAAGGGCTAACATTGTAGACAAACAAAACCTACAGGACTTGGAGCCAAAAAAAAAAAAAAAAAGTATGAGGACTACTATCAAAACATACTAAAAATATTGGAATTAATAATTTTATTTTTTCTTTTATTAAGCACTTTAGTTCAATCCAACACTAGCATAGTATAGTACTATAAGTCAAAATTCCTTCGATAAATTTGGAGTTGAAGATCAAACTTGGAGAGATTGTGGTTAGTTGCTTTCACAATGGGGTGGCACGAAAAGTCTTGGTGATTTCAATGCCAAGTAGTCCCTGACAATCATGCAAAGCCAAACTAAGTATAACATTACAATCTAACAATGGCAACGAATTTATTTTTTGTTTTTCACTTTTTTCATAGCACCTCTAGATTGTTCCATTGAAGTTCAATGCCCCACACTGCAGAGACCGTTGCACAACACCACAATGCAAGAGCTTTGCAAGCTAGTAAATCACTTCAATTGTTGGAATTTCAATGCTAGGTTTCCTTGAAACCTCATACTCTAAAGATTTTCTAGAAGGTAGCACTAGGAAAATGCTCTAGTCCACGTGTGTGCATAGTCGCTTGCCACCTCATCAACTTGTCAGCCACACTCAATAAATGGTGTTATTATCTTTGTTAATATTTCATTAACAGTCTTAAATTTCAGGGATGATTGCTTGTGACGGTTTCAAATATAAGGATTTAATAAACAAAGTTTTGAAACTTAATTCAAAATTAAATAATACTATAAGATAGACATATTAATTTTCCTATTCTATTTTACACTTTTTAAAAATACTTTTACTTTTTATAAAATTTTTAACTTGGCATTTAACTTCTATTAATTTTTAATATTTTTCTACGTTATAGGGGTAAAGTCTAGTCTATCTAGTTTTATTAAAAGTTGCACGCTTTATATTTGGGGAAAAAAGAAAGAAAGAAAGTTGCGTGTACATTGAAGGTTATTGTCCAATCTAGGAGACACAAGTAAATTAAAATATCTGTTTATTCCACAAATATTCGCGGGTATCTTCTTTGAAAAAAAGAAAGAAAAAAATCATAAGCATCGTTACATGATGCATGGTCATGACCATACATGCTCCCGCACCCACCGAATCCTCCCCTCTCCCGTCAGTCCTCACGGTCCTTCACTAACTTCTCCCTCCCTCTCTCTCTCTCTCTCTCTCTCTCTGCTGCTTCTTCCTCAGTTCTTCTGCAGCAGAAGAACAAGTTAGAGAGAGACGCCCCCAATCCAATCCATGGCTTCCCATTTTACCCTCACAATCCTCATTTATTCCCTCTTCCTCCTATCCTCTTCTTCTCCTTCTCCTGTTCTCGGCTTCAATATCACTTCCTTGCTCTCCAATTTCCCAGATCTCTCTCAATTCACCTCTCTTATCTCCTCAACCTCCTCCGTCGCCGCAGATCTCAGCCGCCTATCCTCTCTTACCATCCTTGCTGTCCCCAACGATCTCCTCTCATCTTCCTCCGACCTCACGCGCCATCGCATCTCCCCCACTTCGTTAGCTGATGTCCTCCGTTATCACGTTCTTCTCGAGTTCTTCTCGTGGTCTGACCTGCGTTCTTTCCCTGCCTCTGGTAAGCTCGTCACTACTCTCTTTCAGACCACTGGCCGTGCTACTGACAACTTCGGCTCTGTTAACATCACTCGCGACCCCATTAACGGCGTCGTTTCGGTTCACTCTCCCGCGCCTTACTCTTCTTCCTCTGGTTCCATCTCCAATGCCACTGTGCTTTCCCTCATCAAGACCCTTCCTTATAATGTCAGCATTTTCGCTGTTAATTCCGTTCTTATCCCTTTCGGATTTGATCTTATGGCCTCCGAAACTCGACCCCCTCCGGGGTTAAACATCACTAAGGCGCTCATCGATGGTCACAACTTCAATGTCGCTGCATCTATGCTGTCGGCTTCGGGTGTTGTTCAAGAGTTCGAGGCAGATGAAGGTGGTGCTGGGATCACCATGTTCGTTCCTGTTGATGAAGCATTTGCTTCACTGCCTCCTTCCGTGAGCTTACAGTCTTTGCCAGCTGATAAAAAAGCTGTGGTGTTGAAGTTTCATGTGCTTCATTCGTATTATCCTCTGGGTTCCTTAGAGTCGATTGTCAATCCAGTGCAGCCCACGTTGGCTACAGAAGCCATGGGAGCGAGCAGCTTTACGCTTAACATCTCGAGGGTCAATGGCTCTGTGGCGATCAATACCGGGATCGTTCAAGCGTCAGTAACTCAGACTGTGTTTGATCAAAATCCAGTGGCAATTTTTGGGGTATCCAAGGTGCTGTTGCCTGGAGAGGTATTTGGGAAGAATCCAATTGTGACAACAATACCTGGAGGTCCACTTCAGGGGGGTGCTCCTCCGCCGGATTCATCAATGTCGCCAGAGAGTTCACCGAGCTTAAATGGCCAACCTTCTCACCTTTCCTCTCCACCAGGTTTCCGCGAAGAAATACGGTCGGCAGCTGTTTTATGTGGTTATCAGTCTTTACTCATTGTTCTTTGCTGTATAGGATTGTACTTAGTGGTACAAGATTGATTGTTTGTCATCGTAATTATAATCATAATTATTGTTTTTTGTGGGATTTTATTTTGACTTTTTACACTTATGCTGCCTGATTAATTGAATTTGGTTGCAAAAGCAACCTTTTTTTATTTTTGGGTGTTATTCCTCACCTTTATTAGGAAAGCCCACAAAAACTTCAATGTTAATCGCGCCCTTGTTATATTTTTTGGGTGTTTCTCTTGTAAGTTGTAATACCCTTATTTTTACATAAAATACGCTTCACCCTGTATGTGAATGTAAAACATGCCTCTTCGTATCTTGATAATTCCCAGAGGTCAGGTTGACTGCAGTGATCAAGGTAAATTTACCCATTCCTGCATAAATCTTTCGGTGAATTGATACTGGGCTGTGGCATCCATGTGGCTGCATTTTTTACTATTCTTCAAAGGCTGCTTCAACGCAGATGTTTATGTAATGTCTAATATTCGTAAAAGATAGGGGATAGGTTGGATTCATTGTAACACCTGCCAGGTACAGTGCAAGTGATCTGATGCTGGTGCCAGACAGACCCTATGAAGTAACTTTTGGCATTTGACTTCTGTGGAAATTTCTCATTGTTCCATTGATCTCGATGCTGGAGTTTGCGCAGCTTGCCTATTCCTGTCTTGTGTGGCCATCATGTAGTCTCCTTCTCAGATGCACTTGTGTTGATTTCATAATGAATATCAATTTTGTATTAACCTATACTATTCAGTTTGGAATGCGAGGGTGTTGTTATGTTATTCTAGTTAATCCATATATTATATTCATAAGAGCTGAGAAAGGTTTCTTGTTTCTGAAATCAAGATGACCTTTAGCTATGAATATCTAGGAAGAAGCCAGTGAGTTTTATTCTCTACTACTTTTATGGTTATCTATGAACAATGGCTGCTGAAAGTTTCCTGGGTTGACTTGTAGATTTTGGTTAGATGTTTTAGAATTTTAAGCTGCTGCTTTGTCGCATATCTTGATTCTTGAGCCTTGCCTCTGGAAGTACTATTACGATTATATTTGATACATTGATCTACAGTGGCTGGAAATTTTAAGGAATATTTATTTGGTGGAATGTGGTAGTTTTATTTATTGGACATGATTGACTTGTTATGAACTTGTTTTTGTCATGAACTGATATATTCTGGGGAATGCTTATTGACTTGTTATGACCTTTTATGGTTTGTTATTCAGACACAAATCATGAGATGGGATGTTAGATACAAAATCCAATCCTTTTTCTATTTGCGATGGCAAAGTAAACATTTGTAAGTAAGCTTATTGTTTAAAAGTTTCAGAATTAGTGTTACCTGGATCCTTTTGTGCCTTCCACAGAGGTTGGGCGTCAGGGCATGCGTCTGATTGCAGTGCTCTTGGGTAATGCATTGCTGATTGGCTTGCTTACTTGAATGCACCTTAAGCTCTTTTGTCAACTTCTTGGTTCATTGCCTTAGGTACCTCTAGCTTAACCATAGGCTTGGGTTCAGGTAAGGAGGATGGCTTAGGGTCAATTGTATGTGAGTTATGAGACCAAAACTTATACTCTTCCTTCCGAAGGGTTGTATTCTTCCTTGAACGAGATTTAGGATAATATGGAACCCATTCAAGGAAGTTAACATTTATTCAAGTATTCAATTTTCAAGTGAGAGGAAAATAATGGCTATTTCCCTTGTGATGTGGTGTGTATCCAAGGAAAACATGCTTGAACATTTTGGTCAAGTATACTCCTCTGTTATAGAGGATATGATTGCATGCCACGCACCCAAATACCTTTGAAGGTTAGTAATGATCATGTTTAAGCGAAGGCTTTGAGGAAAACTTACCATGGAGCATCAAATTTTAGGGAATGTTTGGGAACCTGTTGTGGGGTCCCCAACAACCACGTTTTCCCATGAGTAGGTTTTTGGGGACCCCCCAACAAGTTCCCAAACATGCTATTAATAGTTGTTAGGGCATCTGGTTGATAGGATAGATTGCTATTACATAGCTTCTCCATAAATTGCTTATGATTATTATTCATAAACATGAGATTGGGCTATTTCAAGGTGGTGCCTAATTTTCTTCTCAACTATAAATTTTTGTTCAGGAGTATAGGCACAAGATCTTTGGTGAACATTATGTGGAAAAGTTCCTGAAGGATTGGGTTAAATAGTCCATGCCATTATCAGTTTGAAAAATCTGTATTTTTGTTTGAAATCAGTTTTAAATCATGAAATGAAAATTGTTGACAATGGGGGTTATTTTTATCTTTTGATTCATGGGGAAAACCCAAGTAATCTGAGTGTGATCACCAAAAACAGAATTGAACCAACAGAAGTTATATCTTCTGTTGGTCCTGATCACGATATATCACTATGGATGACCAAAAATGGATGTGACAGTTTGTAAACCTGATTGGGGTATGTGTTGTTTGTTTTTAGCAGTTGATATAGCTCAAATTGGAATATTTATGGATTTTTATGGAAAAAAGTGGCCAAGTGGGTAGACGTTTTTGCAAATACATAGTTTGAGTTCTGTAAACGCGGGTGTCATACATAATAGTGCCTTTCAAATTGTTGGAAGGTGTGGTCAGTGGTCACATGGTAGGCATGGGTGACTTTATTATTGAGTATTGACATCGATCTGTGCAGACCCTTACTCTCTCTGGCATTGCCTATTACCTTTTACGTGAATCCAAATCCTGAAAAAAGCGTTTAGTGGGAGAAAATTTAGCTCACACAGTTATGAGTGAGCTTGCTTATAGAAATCAAATTGCAAGATAAATCCAGATTCAAGTGAAATGTTTTAATGAAAAAGGCATTTAGAAGGAGAGAATTTAGCATTGCCTGTTGCTTAGAGTGGTTGCTTTAGTCTCCATCACGAGTTTCCTTTAGCTGTCTACCTTACGTACCTATAAGAAAACCTCTTTCATTGGAGGCAATGGATTGGAGCTTAGAAATCTCCTCACAACTTCATCCAGGGATGATTTAAACCCACAAGAAATTTGATATTCTCTTTATGATATCACTATATTTATTTTCATCCTTGTGGCATGGCGAATTTGACTTTCCCAAAGACATCTAATTGTTGCCACCAACCCATCAATTGAGTAGAATGGTGTCACTGATCATTCGCCTTGTTTTGGTCATGTAGAGTGCTTTTGATCTTAAATATCTCAGCAATGTTGTCTTGATCAGAGTATGTGATGTATGGCAAGGGGGATAAAGGGGGACGGAGAAGGAGAAAGAGGAGAAACAAGGGAAAGATAGCAAGATGGAGGGGGAACGGAGAACTTCGGACAGAAGTGCGTGACAACAAAAAGTCTCGGATGATTCAATAAGCAATAGCCTAATGATGAGAAAATCTTAGGACTGCCTCCCATCCGGATTAAATCCGAAACCTATTGTGTGTGACTATTTTCACCAAAAGCAATCTCACAAGTATTTTAAATATGTCTTTGATATATTTATTTAATGTGATTGCATGTTACAAGACTCGAACTCAAATCCTACGATAAATTGATTTAACTTTTGATGAGTTAAACCAGCTGCTCCATGATAAATTATAGGACTATTTATAGAACCCTAAATACAACAATTAAAATCATGATAATTTAATCCTAAATAACATAAAAGGAAACCTAACATTCGAAATAAAATAACTACTAAACAGTAAATTACTAGAATATAAAATAAGTCTAACCAGGTTACCCATGAGTGTATATCCTTCAGAATCATCTAGATATTGTGGACGGTATCCTAGAACATTAAGTCGTGCCTAATGTCAAGTGTCCATGGTGTTGTCTGACTAGGACATGACCTTATTGTCTTTTAGATACCCTCCAAATCTTGTACGTTGCTTCCTTCTTTTTCTGGTTTGACATCATCTATTAGGTAACTTCTCTCCCTTGCTTGAGGGGATTTGGCCTATTATAAATTGTAAGTAGTTGTGGCTCCTCAATTTGTCCTCAGTGATCAGTTTTATAGATCCTTCTGATCTGTCATGGCTGTAGACGATTATTTATTTGTTTAGATAAGAAAAGAAATAACAGATGAGAGAGAAAGATAAGAAATAATAATTATTTATATTTGTTTACAGCATAACTACGATCAATAGAAGTCCTCAAACTAAAATGTTAATTAAAGGAAAAATGAGGAATTCCACATAGTAATAATGATGTGATTAGATGCCTATTAAATGCATAGCTAGAATACGGACTAATATACCAACAAACATGCAACTCAACTGGCAAAAGGTTGTATTGGCTTAAACAATGGTCTTGATCTAGGTATGCAACTACGTTAAATATTTTTTCGGAGAGCTTTGCCGTTTAACTTGGATTAGTCAGAGTTTAATGTGGCTTCCAGATACGAAGTGGTTTGATGCCAAAAACATGAAGGAGAATGATAGTTAAGTCCAAAAAAAAAAAAATAATGACAATTAGGTCTCCAATATTTTTTTTTTGAAAAACCAATTGTAAATATCAATTCAAACAGTTATAAATTTAAAAATTTCAATTGTAAATATGATATTTAAATTCTAAATATAATAATTAGTTTACAATTCAGATTCTTGTTTATAATCGTTTGAATTAATATTTATAATTTGTTTTACAGAAAATTTTGTTAAGAATTTAACTGTCATTAATTTAACCTTTTTGGATTTTATTGTCATTCTCCCAAAAATGAATATGCACTCACAGTCCTAGTCTCAAATTTTTAATTGAATCACTATTTATAAAACAAAACCCTAATTTTCAAAGTCAGTTGAAAGACATCAAAGAAGCATTTGCATCATCCTCCCAAAATAAGAATTTGCTCCTGTAGTTGGCCTGCGCCTTCAACTTAAATTTTATGATATCTTTTTTATTTCTATTTTATAAAAATAATTTATTATATTATTTTAAAATTTTATAATATCCACTTCTTTAAACACTTTCTCATTTTTCAGATAAGATTATCTTAAGAAACAACTCAAAGTAACTTTTTAAAATAATAGAAAATCTGCCATTTCTTTTAATTCTAATTATTTTCAAAAGTTTTATTCAATAATATTTGTCTTTTTATCAAAATAGAAGAAGAATTTGCTTCTATACAACCTTGAGCGTTTGGACCAACTAACAAAAGTTGTTCCACTTAACTAGAGATCTCAAGTTTAAATTTTGAGAATGCAGTAGAGTAAGTAGTTAGAGATGTCCATTCTTGTGGTGCTTATCATGTCTTGATCTAGATTAGTCTGGACTGTGTTAAGTCTTATATAATTATATAATTAGTAATTCTTCAACAGCCAAGCATCAAGTTCTAAAAAATTACCGTGTAGTCCAACTATAATCAGGCTAAGCATTATTCTTCGATTTCGTTAGACAATTTCAGGTGGGGTATGAGAAGTGACCACATGGTCATCATCACTGGTGTTCTTAATCTCATTAACAGACAATAGTGGAGCTGCAACAATTTTGGGTAAGAGTAATATTCTCATCTGCATTTACAGTTGGTGGCGGCAAAGGAGGCTCAAAAGTGTGTTGGTGAGGAAACAAAGTCTTTCATGCCAGAAATATAACTAACACTCATAACAGTAGCCAAATCAAGTGAATATGTATTATGGTTTGGCTTAACCAAATTATGAAATGAACCTTTTGCTGAAAAAGATTTATTTAAAACCCTGATTGAACCTTAATAACGAAATAAAAAAAGCCCTTATTGACAAAATCAAATCAAAGGCTTTAAAGTGTCAAGTCAAATTCTTTCTGTTCTCTTGTTTTATCTTTTGGCTT